GGTTTTTGAAAAAAAAAAACGCTATGCGTCGCCAGGTGTTTCATCGGATTTGAGGAGTTACCTCCTTTGACAGTATCAGCTTAAAGCACTTGTTGCAGGCTGCTGAGTTTGCATCTTTTGCTGTGAAGTACAGCCAGACTTTTGACCGCTTCGCCTTGGGCATTTTTAATCTGTACCTGGCCCCGCCTACTATCCTCGGAAACGTAAAATTATTGGCTAGAAGTGTATCACAGCTCAGGAAAAGCGTTGGGTGCACCTCTTTCCCTTCAATGATTACACGGACCCCGGCAATGTGAGCTCCTTTTATTGATGCAGCAAGGAAAGAAGGAAGAGGCCAAAGCTTCTCTTGAATCGCTCTGTCTGCAGAGGACAGATCTTCAGTGAACCTCATGTAATTTTATTTCAGAAAGGAGCAGTTTTTAGCTTTCCTCCAGATCGGTCGCGAGCTGATCTTGTCACAAATAGAATGATAACCAGCCTTGGTTTCTTCTGAATTTCGCTGTAGTGGCCCAGGGAATGAACTACATCAATGCTGTTTTTGAATCCTGCACTTGTTTCCCCGGCAACAGTGCAGCAGATGTCAAGTACTTTTCTGGTGATGTCTTCTTGCTTTTGCTCAGGGACACCTGAGAGCCTGAGATTCCATCTCCGATGGTATCGTTCAACTTCGTTGACCTTCAGTTCTACTTGAGACAATCTGCTGCTGTTTTTTCCACAAGTAGATTTAATTGTTTGGGTGACATTCTTCAAAGATTCTACTTCCAAGAACATGGTCTCGATGTTAACAGTATTCTTGCTGATCATAGCCTCAAGCCTCCAAGCATTTCGTGATACACCGTCATATTTACATTATTTGTACAGTATGAATGATTTGCTTTGGTACCTGGTCAAACTTCAGTTCTCTGTCTGCCTGGCTCTGTTTCTCCAACTAGTGAGTTGGAGAAAGTTTCTCCAACATTTTCACTGTTTTTCGCTTCATGCTGCAAGTCACACTTGTGTTTACGCTGAGCAGAGATGGCAAACAGAGCCTTGCATTTTCGCCCCTCCCCCCTCTGCTCAGCGCTGAGCTGAGGGGGCGGGGTGGTAGTTACACTCGCAACAGCAGTAGCACACAACAAGAGCAGGAGGGAGAGGGAAAGAAAGCAAGCCGGGAGCAACAAGAGAGAACACCGTCTCATTGGAAAGGTACAGTAAAGAAAATGAGTGACACCAAGAAAAGAAGCAAAGTCTGGAACCATTTCAGTCTTATTGACAAAACAAAGGCAGAGTGTAGAGTCTACAAGAAAAGGATATCATATAGAGCCGGCTCCACAAACAACATGCACCTGGTCTTTCAGTCCAGCTTTGTCCAGCCACTGGTATCTTTGCTGTATCTCAGCCACTTCTATGTGCCGGTGGTACATACTGTGCAGGGGCCTGTCAGTGGCTTCACTCTCTTCTTTTGGCCAACTCATTATCCCAGCGGGGAATCTGATTACCAGCAGGTTGTAGGTATTTGCTTGGATCTTTTTCTTGCCATTAAGTTGATTCCTTAGGACTTGCCTTACTCTCTGCAGGTATTTGGTGGTTGTACCTTTGCTAATGCCCTCTTCATTGTTCCTATTTACCTATGGGATTCTCAGGTACTTGCAGCTTTCCCTTAACTTGTAGCTGTCTGCAAAAACACCCCACTTTGCAGTTATTTATTTGTAAAAAATATTTGGAATCATGTATGATTTTCGTTCCACTTCTCATGTGTGCACCACTTTGTGTTGGTCTTTCACATGTGACAAATGTGACTAATGTGACAAAATGTGGGAAAGTTCAAGGGAGCCGAATACTTTTGCAAGCTGCTGTATCCATAGCCAGTCTTGTTGATGATCTCACTGAGGGGATGCAGGCATATGCAGAACAGCAATTGGGACAGAGCATCTCCTTGGTAAACGTAGCACTTGATGGCAACTTGTGCAATTGGCTTGAAGTTGGCCTCTAGTGTTGTTTGCCACATCCCCATTGAATTCCTGATGAAGGATCTTGTATGCATGCCAGGATCCACGTGTGGGACACTGAGTCATAGGCTATAGTCAATCCAGGCGATCTTGCAGTCTTGGGTGATGGCCCTGTCTACCAGTAGCTGGTGTTTCGTCCCCTCTGCTGTTCTTTCAAATTCCTTTCTGTGCTCCAGCATATCTGCCATCGCCTGGCAGCAGTTGCAGGGTCTGAGTGACCAGACTATACACTCTCAGAAATAGGGGTGCCAAAGTGTACCAAAAAGGGTACAAATGCTTGTCGCTGGGGGTGTTCCTTTTTGAAGGACATTTCTGTACCCTTTAGGCTTGGTACATTTTTGTACCTTATGAAGTTGTACCATCTGAAGTACAATCATGTACTTTCCTAAGACATAAATGTACCTTCAAACTATAGTACAGAAATGTTCCCTTGAAAAGGGTACAATAGGGTACCTATGAGGGTACCCCCCCAGCGACAACCTATTTCGTACCTAAAGAGACAAAAATGTACCCCAATAGTCCAAAATATTTGGTTATTTAACCATTTATTTTCAATAATAGAATCACATCAAAGCATTTAAACAACCACAGGAATACATCCTTGATTACATTCGTATATTGCCATAGGACATGTCAAGAAAAATACATTCATTTAAAAAAAGTAAACAATCACATAAAGACATTAAACACCTGAACACAATGTTTTGACGGATCACACATGGCGTTGAAAAGAGTGATACTTGGAAAAAGCTGCCTGGCAGTCATTTATTCCACAAGTGATGCCGAAATGAGGCTCATGTGCGTGTACTAACCCAACATGTGTAATCAACTTCCTCAGAGTAAATGCCCTTTTTGAACATTTTGAAAATTTGTGGAGTGGGGGCATATTTAATAGAGTTGGTTAAGTACCCTGGTGACACTTACTGGCAGGGGTTTGTCTCCCTGGTCTCCTATGTTGACAATGCAGTTCTGAAGAAAGACAAGTGTTTTCTTGAAGTATGCAGGGTAGGTCATGTTGAACACGAAGAAGGTGGAGAATGCTGAGATGTAGGCCTCATCCAGCGAGCAGCATGAGCAAACATCCACTCCTTCAACTGTGACAACACAGCGACACTGTCTTGAGAGGGCAGTTGTCCAACTCTTATCCTTCATTCGAATGGTTGGGTATGGACTCATGGGAGTATTCTGCAGAAGAGGAAGAAAAACATTAGTATACAGTATGTTTAAGCAATATGTGCCAAGTGGATTTTCAACAGATTCCTCAAATTACCTTCTTTATTTGCTGCAAAACAAAACTGTCTATTCTGATAACCTGTAAACATGGCCCCTACTCCAAACAAAAAGCTTCTTGACCAATGACTGTTGTGGTAGTGTTTGATAAGCTGCTAAAGTTTGACATAATATTCAAGGGCAAAAGCAATCACCCCTGACAGTGACAGTACCTGTGAAGAAGAATTTCCCTAAGGGGACAATAAAGGTCTATCTATCTATATAAACACCAGACAAAACCCAAGAGCACAGCAGCACTGTGGATTAACAGCAGTGTTTCCCCTACATTAGCTTAGCTGTGATGCTGAACCGCAGCTGAATTCAGCTCCATGCCAACAA